ACAAAGAATAGAATAGAATAGAATAGAATAGAATTACAAATAGAATAGAATTACAAATAGAATAGAATTACAAATAGAATAGAATGGGAATAGAATTACAAATAATAGAATAGAATAGAATAGAATAGAATGGAATGGAATGAAATGGAATAGAATAGAATAGAGTAGAGTACAGTATATAGGAATAGAATTACAAATCATAGAATAGAATAGAATAGAATAGAATAGAATAGAATAGAGTAGAATAGAAATAGAATTACAAATAATAGAACAGAATAGAATAGAATAGAATAGAATAGAATAGAATTACAAATAGAATAGAATTACAAATAATAGAATAGAATAGAATAGAATAGAATAGAATAGAATTACAAATAGAATAGAATTACAAATAGAATAGAATAGGAATAGAATTACAAATAATAGAATAGAATAGAATAGAATTACAAATAGAATAAAATTACAAATAGAATAGAATTACAAATAGAATAGAATAGAATAGAATAGAATTACAAATAGAATAGAATCACTAATAGAATAGAATAGAATAGAATAGAGCTGGAAGGGACCTTGGAGGTCTTCTAGTCCAACCCCTTGCTCAAGCAGAAGATCCCAGACCTTTTCAGACAGGTGGCTGTCCAATCTTTCTTAAAAACCTCCAGTGATGGAGCACCCGCAACGTCTGGTGGCAAGTGGTTCCACTGGATAATTAGAATTAGAATCACAGAGTTGGAAGGGACCTTGTAAGTCATTTAGTCCACCCCCCTGTCCAAGCAGGAGACCCTACACCATTCCTGACAGAAATTCTATTCTATTCTATTCTATTCTATTCTATTCTATTCTATTCTATTCTATTCTATTCTATGTTGACTACCTGTGTCTTAGGTTTAGGGATTCATAGCAAGATATGTCAGGGATTATAATCTCATTTATTTTAAGTTAGTAAATCATGTGGAAAAATAGGTATAAGCAGGCAAATAAAGCCTTGATTTATATAGCTTTGTGGCTGAGAGACCCTGATAGGAATGCATGGGGGGGGGGGAAATAACAGTCACGGTTCCTCATCTCAAAGCTTCCCTCCAAAGCTTCATCCTGTGAGTCATTTTGTTCCAGCTTCCACCTGAAAAGAAGGATGTAGTAGAGAGAGGATGTAAATTGTTATGCAGGGGCCGTCAGATGAAACGAAAACGGGCAAAAATTCTCTTTATGCACTTTGGCTGCAACTGAGCACAGTCCCTGCAGACTGCGCCTACATGCAGGGGGATACCTATTTGAAGAGAAGGATTGATTTTATTTTAACAAGCTTTTTGAGCAAGGAAAAAACAAAAAACAAAAATCTGATTCCTCTTATCTAGAGAACTGAGAAAAAAAAACCCCAATAATTTCCCCAGAACCACGAGCAAGAGTGTAAATCAAAGGTGATATTTCTGCGGAGTTCACATCCTAGAGAGAGAACTTCAAATCTTTTTATATTCTTTATTCGGTTGAGGAACAAAGAATACTCATAGATTGGTGGCCGTATTTACAAATTCAGTCTAGACATAACAGGGATAGGCAAGAACATGGAATTAGTCAGACCCCACACCAACTTGATAAAATTCTAATAAGTAAGGAAGGAAAACTATTATCAAAAATTTATAAATACCTATTAGAGATAGAGTTAGAAGAAGAAATAGTGAAGGGGCNGATTTCAAACCAGAAATATTTCTTTTGGGCATAATAAATTTAAAGATGGAAAAACAACTCCAACACATCATTATACACATATTGACTGCAGCTCGTATAGCATATGCGCAATGTTGGAAGAGTGAAAATATTCCCACAAATGATATGATTATGTATAAAATCTTGGAATGCGCAGAAATGAACAAACTTACGTTAGAATGAAAAGACAAGGAGACGTCAGAATTTTATGAAATTTGGAATAAATGTTATAATTGGCTAGAACAGAGAAAGAAAAAGACATAATTATTGATGTACATAAAATGTAAATAAGATGTAAAGAATATTTAAAATGTAAAGCACTGTTCTGTTAGAAGAAAAGATTTATGTTTATGTAGTTTTTGGTGTACTGTGTATAGTGAAAAATAAAAAAAAAATTTAAAAAAAGAAAGAACATCCAATAGGCAGTTAATCTAATGTCTCGTCTACTATTGCATTGAAATCCCCAATTAGTAGTAAATCAGAGAAACAAGGAAGAAGAAAAAAATTACCTAAGGCTTTTTTTGCAACACGATAAAGAGGAAATTGGTGCACAAGATATTTGGAGAGAAAACGAAGCCAGAAAATTACAATACACATTTTATTTATCGTCATAAACCTTGGTCTAGAACTGATACGATTTGGAGGACGCCTGAAGCGAGGGTTAATATGCAGGAAGCTGGAATAGAATTAGGCACCTGGGCAGATCATAATCCTTTAAAAATGCTGCAGAAAGGAATGCAGACAAAATTAAGATGGACTTTGAACCAATCTATATTGAAAGAGAAAGAATTTGTCCAACGCTGGAGGTTTTTAAGAAGAGACTGGACAGCCACTTGTCTGAAATGATGTAGGGTTTCCTGCCTGAGCAGGGGGTTGGACTAGATGACCTCCAAGGTCCCCTCCAACTCTATTTTTCTTATTCTTATTCTTATTCTTATTCTTATTCTTTTCTTATTCTTCTTCTTCTTATTCTTATTCTTATTCTTATTCTTATTCTTATTCTTATTCTTATTCTTATTCTTTTCTTATTCTTATTCTTTTCTTTTCTTATTCTTATTATTTTCTTATCCTTATTCTTTTGTGATTCTGATTCTGATTCTTATTCTTTTCTTATTCTTATCCTTATTCTTGAATTTCCATTGCACATTTAGCCTTTCGCTGCAACTGATCTCTTTCTTTCTTCTTGTGGGTCTTTTTTCCCCTTCTCATTGCATACACTTACTTGCAGATTGAAGGTGGCAATAATTTTTTCTTTCTTTCTCCTTGATCGGCAATGATCTCATTTCCCCCCAAAAAAATAAATTAAAAAAGTGAACCCAGCCTTTTTATAAGGGAAATCGCCACGCTCGCAGCCTCCCTCCACAAATTCCCACTTGACCGAGTCCCGTCGTCTCCTTGAACACCCCTCTTTTCCCCTGCTTAGCCCCCCCTGCTTTCTGCCATCCTGGGCCCCTCCGAGGAATTTGCGTAATTGTCGATTGTGCTGCTATTTTTCTGAACTTACAAACACCAGGCCACGCACTTATTCACATGTTCTGTTCTATTTTAGCAAGCACCGTTGGATCGTATGTGCAACTGTTGTATTTCCCTGTGAACGTGGACGGCGAGTGTAGCGGTAGTAGTAGTAGTAGTAGTAGTAGTAGTAGTAATAGTAGTAGTAGTAGTAGTAGTAGTAGTAATAATAATAATAATAATAATAATAATAATAATAATAATAATAATAATAATAATAATAATAATAATAATAATAAAGTTGGAAGGGACCTTGGAGGTCATCTAGTCCAACCCCCTGCTCAGGCAGGAAACCCTACACCATTTCAGACCAATGGCTGTCCAGTCTCTTCTTAAAAACTTCCAGTGTTGGAGCATTCACCGCTTCTGGAGGCAGGTTGTTCCACTGGCTAATTGTTCTAACTGTCAGGAAATTTCTCCTTAGTTCTAGGTTGCTTCTTTGGATGCATTCTTTATTATATTTTAATTTGCCCATGCTTGACGTTGTCTAACTGCAAAATGCCCAAATTCTTCTAGCCTTCATCCTGATGGCTTTGACGTCAACACCTTCTAGGCTTATCAGCAAATGTAAGACACCTCTCTTTGATTTATACATAATATCTGGGGGAAATTACAATTTAATTTAAAGGATTTCCAACCTCCAGATAAAGAAACTTGCAATTAAAACATCCATGATAGGGATGAAAACAAAACAAAACAAAAAACCCCCCAAAGATTCCTGAAAATCAGAGATCACGGCAAGGATTCTGAATAGAATGGAATGGAATGGAATGGAATAGAGTAGAGTAGAGTAGAGTAGAGTAGAGTAGAGTAGAGTAGAGTAGAGTAGAGTAGAGTAGAGTAGAGTAGAGTAGAGTAAAGTAGAGTAGAAGAGAAGAGAAGAGAATAGGAATTAGAGAATAGAGTAGAATAGGAAATAGAGAACAGAACAGAACAGAACAGAATAGAATAGAATAGAGCTGGAAGGGACCTTGGAGGTCTTCTAGTCCAGCCCCCTGCTCAAGCAGGAGAACCTATACCATCTCAGACAGGTGATTGTCCAGCCTCTTCTTAATACAGTGCAATGTTGTTGTTAGTTGTGAAGTCGTGTCCGACCCATCGCGACCCCATGGACAACATTCCTCCAGGCCTTCCTGTCCTCTACCATCTTCTGGAGTCCATTTAAGCTCACGCCTCCTGCTTCAGGGACTCCATCCAGCCACCTCCTTCTCTGTCGTCCCCTTCTTCTCTTGCCCTCCATCTTTCCCAGCATCAGGCTCTTCTCCAGTGAGTCCTTCCTTCTCATTATGTGGCCAAAGTCCTTGAGTTTCCACTTCAGGATCTGGCCTCCTAAAGAGCAGTCGGGGTTGATCTCCTCTAGGACTGACCGGTTGGATCGCCTTGCAGTCCAGGGAACTCGGTGGAGTCTTCTCCAGCACCAGAGTTCAAAGGCCTCCATTCTTTGGCGCTCAGCCTTTCTTACGGTTCAACTTTCACAGCCATACGTTGCAACTGGGAAAACCATGGCCTTGACTATACACACTTTTGTTGGCAGGGTGATGTCTCTGCTTTTTAGTATGCTGTCTAGATTCGCCATAGCTACAGTGCAATAGGCATCAAATAAAACTTCCCATGTTTGAATGCTGTTTTTCAACAAACCGCATCTCCAAAATATACAACAGTTTAGTGCCTCTTAGTCAAAGAAGACTAATAAGTCCTGGAGCGAATGTAATTAGGCACACAGAAATCTAATTTCAGTTAAAGGGTTCCGCTAATAGAAAACCCACATTAATTAAAACCTGGCTTTATATCTCCTTGGTCTCAACGTGGTCTAAACAGAGCCTCTCCTTCTGCGTGGAGAAGACTTTGGAGGAGGCCAGCTGCCTCACCGCCCTCTTGATGTCCCTGTTCCTCAGCGTGTAAATGAGAGGGTTCACCAAAGGGGTTAAAATGGAAAAAGTCATGTCGCTCAGAATGTGGACGTCGCTGGACATCTCGACCCGGTAGGAGAGAAAAGCCAGAGCAATGGAGGAATAATACGTGATGACCACCACCAGGTGGGAAAAGCACGTGGAAAAGGTCTTCCTGCGCCCTTCTTTGGAGCGGATCTGCAAGACCGAGACCATGATGCAGGCGTAGGAGATGACCACGAGCAGCAGCGGGCCGAAGGCGACGGTCATGGAAATGGTGAAGCCCATAAAACTCTGGAAAGTGGTGTAGGCATTTTGGCACGCGGCCTGGACCACCGCCAGGTGGTCGCAGAAGCAGTGGTTGACCCTGGGCCTCTTGCGAAAGGTCAGCTGCGACGACTGGACCACCGGCGGGATGGCGACCAGCAGGCCGAAGAACCAGGCTGTGGCCGCCAGCTGCGCGTTCTTCTGCCTGGTCATCCGGACGGCGTAGTGCAAGGGGTGGCAGATGGCCTCGTAGCGGTCGTAGGACATCGCCACCAGGAGGAAGGTCTCGGTCACCGCCAGTCCGTGGAAGAAGTACATCTGCAGGAAGCACCCCTTGGAGGAGATGGACCTGGCGTTGAGCGAGAACATGGCCAGCATTTGGGGAATGATGATGGTGGTCAGCAAGATGTCTAGGATGGAAAGGTTGGTCAGGAAAAAGTACATGGGCTTGTGGAGCTTGGGGTCGGTGGCCACCGCCGCGATGATGGTGACGTTGCTGGAAAGGATGAGCAGGTAGAAGGCGAGGAAGACGAAGAAGAGGGGGAACTGGTGGTCCTGAAGGCTGGGGAAGCCCACAAGCCAGAAGTACGGAACAGAACCGCCCGTGAAGTTGCAGGACTCCATTTGGCGAAAGGCTCAGGTGGGTCTAGGGAAGAAAAAAAAAGAGACCACAGGAGAGAAGAGTGTCAGCTTTGCCCATCATACCTCTGCAAAGTCCTCTTAGAATAGAATAGAATAGAATAGAATAGAATAGAATAGAATAGAATAGAATAGAATAAAATAGAATAGAATAGAATAGAATAGAATAGAATAGAATAGAATAGAATAGAATTACAAATAGAATAGAATTACAAATAGAATAGAATTACAAATAGAATAGAATTACAAATAGAATAGAATAGGAATAGAATTACAAATAATAGAATAGAATAGAATGGAATGGAATAGAATAGAATTACAAATAGAATAGAATTACAAATAGAATAGAATTACAAATAATAGAATAGAATAGAATGGAATGGAATAGAATAGAATAGAATAGAATAGAATAGAATAGAATAGAATAGAATAAAGTAGAGTAGAATAGGAATAGAATAGGAATAGAATTACAGATAATAGAATAGAATAGAATAGAGTAGAGTAGAGTAGAGTAGAATAGGAATAGAATAGGAATAGAATTACAAATAATAGAATAGAATAGAATTACAAATAGAATAGAATTACAAATAGAATAGAATTACAAATAGAATAGAATAGAACAGAATAGAGCTGGAAGGGACCTTGGAGGTCTTCTAGTCCAACCCCTTGCTCAAGCAGAAGATCCCAGACCTTTTCAGACAGGTGGCTGTCCAATCTTTCTCAAAATCCTCCAGTGATGGAGCACCCGCAATATCTGGTGGCAAGTGGTGCCACTGGATAATTAGAATTAGAATCACAGAATTGGAAGGGACCTTGTAAGTCATTTAGTCCACCCCGCTGTCCAAGCAGGAGACCCTACACCATTCCTGACAGAAATTCTATTCTATTCTATTCTATTCTATTCTATTCTATTCTATTCTATTCTATTCTATGTTGACTACCTGTGTCTTAGGTTTAGGGATTCATAGCAAGATATGTCAGGGATTATAATCTCGTTTATTTTAAGTTAGTAAATCATGTGGAAAAATAGTTATAAGCAGGCAAATAAAGCCTTGATTTATATAGCTTTGTGGCTGAGAGACCCTGATAGGAATGCATGGGGGGGGGGGGGGAAATAACAGTCACGATTCCTCATCTCAAAGCTTCCCTCCAAAGCTTCATCCTGTGAGTCATTTTTTTCCAGCTTCCACCTGAAAAGAAGGATGTAGTAGAGAGAGGATGTAAATTGTTATGCAGGGGCCGTCAGATGAAACGAAAACGGGCAAAAATTCTCTTTGTGCACTTTGGCTGCAACTGAGCACAGTCCCTGCAGACTGGGCCTACATGCAGGGGGATACCTTTTTGAAGAGAAGGATTGATTTTATTTTAACAAGCTTTTTGAGCAAGGAAAATACAAAAAAAACACAAAAAAATCTGATTCCTCTTATCTAGAGAACTGAGGAAAAAAAAACCCCAATAATTTCCCCAGAACCACGAGCAAGAGTGTAAATCAAAGGTGATATTTCTGCGGAGTTCACATCCTAGAGAGAGAGCTTCAAATCCTTTTATATTCTTTATTCGGTTGAAAGAACATCCAATAGGCAGTTAATCTAATGTCTCGTCTACTATTGCATTGAAATCCCCAATTAGTAGTAAATCAGAGAAACGAGGAAGAAAAAAAAATTACCTAAGGCTTTTTTTTTTGCAACACGATAAGGAGGAAATTGGCACACAAGATATTTGGAGAGAAAACGAAGCCAGGAAAATTACAATACACATTTTATTTATCGTCATAAACCTTGGTCTAGAACTGATACGATTTGGAGGACGCCTGAAGCGAGGGTTAATATGCAGGAAGCTGAAATAGAATTAGGCACCTGGGCAGATCATAATCCTTTAAAAATGCTGCAGAAAGGAATGCAGACAAAATTAAGATGGACTTTGAACCAATCTATATTGAAAGAGAAAGAATTTATAGAGTTAGCAACGAAAGAAATGGAATAGAAAAGAAGATACAACAATACAAAATGTATGGGATACAGCCAAAGGGTATTTTCGAGGCGTAGCGATAACATACGTGGTGGAAAAAAAAAACCCACAAAGAAAAGAGACAATAGTGTCAGTTGTTAAGAGAAGAATTTAAAAAATTAGAATTAGAACTACTTCCCGCCACTTGCTTAGTGACCCTTACTGAAAAAAGAGACTTACAATCGGTCCTCACCCTTATCCAGTGTTTAATATTTATTTGTTATGTATATGTAGGGGTGTGGGTCCATACATATGTTGTATATAGTATGTTTAGGTGTGTGTCGTGTACGTGTTTCACTTTGAGAGCGGGCAACTAAATTTCTTTTCTGATGTGTGCTTTTTGTGTATATCAAATGTTCATATTCTATAAGACTATGCACCTTTCCTATAAGGTGTGCTGTTCATGATCAGTCCATCTGTAGCTGGATGATGGGAGTTGTAGTGAAGGACCTGTATAGAATGCCAGATTTGGGAAACTGTTTGACCCCATTCAGTCTGTTAAATGGTCCCTGAAAAAGGCCAGTGGGGATAGATCAATCACGCGTCAACAAATTCTATCGCTTAATGGAAAAATATCTTTTTGGAATTTGGATTGAAAGTACAACATTCTGCTAATTTTTACTAGTCCTTTTTTTTGCAATTGCTTTTATCATGATTTTATTTACAGCTAATTGGAAGATATTTGCCGGTTTATTTGTTAAATTTACTTGCTCTGGGGGCTACGCAGGGTTACGACAATAAAATGGAAAAAAAGAAATGATAAAAAAGCGTAAACGTAACGAAGGAAGAAAGCAATAAAAATGAACAACAATACAAAAGGAAAAAGATACCGAAAGACAGGTTGTGAGTCAGGTATAACCTAAAACTAAGGAGGATTAATGAGTCTCTAGTCTCTCGTTAGTTTTCTTTTAGGTATTTTGGATCTGTGTTAAAACATGGTCAATAAACAAAATTATACGATGTTGTCTTTCCAACCTGAATTATCCAACGCTGGAGGTTTTTAAGAAGAGACTGGACAGCCGTTTGTCTGAAATGGTGTAGGGTTTCCTGCCTGAGCAGGGGGTTGGACTAGATGACCTCCAAGGTCCCCTCCAACTCTCTTATTCTTATTCTTATTCTTATTCTTATTCTTATTCTTTTCTTATTCTTATTCTTTTTTTATTCTTATTCTTATTCTTATTCTTATTCTTATTCTTATTCTTATTCTTATTCTTATTCTTATTATTATTATTATTATTATTATTATTATTATTATTATTATTATTATTATTTTCTTATTCTTATTCTTATTCTTATTCTTATTCTTTTATTCTTATTCTTATTCTTATTCTTTTCTTTTTCTTTTTCTTATTCTTATTCTTTTCTTATTCTTATTCTTATTCTTATTCTGATTCTGATTCTTTTCTTATTCTTATTCTTATTCTGATTCTTTTTTTATTCTTATTCTTATCCTTATTCTTGAATTTCCATTGCACATTTAGCCTTTCGCTGCAACTGATCTCTTTCTTTCTTCTTGTGGGTCTTTTTTTTCCTTCTCATTGCATACACTTACTTGCAGATTGAAGGTGGCAATAATTTTTTCTTTCTTTCTCCTTGATCAGCAATGATCTCATTTCCCCCCAAAAAATAAATAAAAAAAGCGAACCCAGCCTTTTTATAAGGGAAGTCGCCACGCTCGCAGCCTCCCTCCACAAATTCCCACTTGACCGAGCCCCGTCGTCTCCTTGAACACCCCTCGTTTCCCCTGCTTAGCCCCCCCTCCTTTCTGCCATCCTGGGCCCCTCCGAGGAATTTGCGTAATTGTCGATTGTGCTGCTATTTTTCTGAACTTAACAACACCAAGTGAAACACTTATTCACATGTTCCGTGGTAGGGCCAAGTCTATTTTAGCAAGCACTGTTGGATCGCATGTGCAACTGTCGTATTTCCCTGTGAATGCGGAGGGCGAGTGTAGCGGTAATAATAATAATAATAATAATAATAATAATAATAATAATAATAATAATAATAATAATAATAATAATAATAATAATAATAAGTTGGAAGGGACCTTGGAGGTCCTCAAGTCTAACCCCCTGCTCAGGCAGGAAACCCTATACCATTTCGGACAAGTGGCTGTCTAGTCTCTTCTTAAAAACTTCCAGTGTTGGAGCATTCACCACTTCTGGAGGCAGGTAGTTCCACTGGTTAATTGTTCTCACTGTCAGGAAGTTTCTCCTTAGTTCCAGGTTGCTTCTCTCCTTGATGAGTTTCCATCCGTTGCTTCTCGTCCTGCCTTCAGGCGCTTTGGAAAGTTCCTTGACTTACAGGCACAATTCAGCACAACATTTGTGTTGGGCAGTGGGAGGGTGGTTAAGTGAATTTTGCCCCGTTTGACAACCTTTCCTGCCACCGTTGTTAAGCGAATCACTGCCGTTGTTAAGTCAGTGACTGGACAGCCGTTTGTCTGGCATAGTATATAGGGTTTCCTGCCTGAGCAGGGGGTTGGGCTAGATGACCTCCAAGGTCCCTTCCAACTTTATTATTATTATTAACAAGCTGCCTCCAGAAGCTGTGAATGCTGCCACACTGGAGGTTTTTAAGAAGAGGCTGGACAGCCATTTGTCTGAAATGGTATAGGGTCTCCTGCCTGAGCAGGGAGTTGGACTAGATGACCTCCAAGCTCCCTTCCAACTCTATTCTATTCTAAGAGACTGGACAGCCATTTGTCTGAAATGGTGTAGGGTTTCCTGCCTGAGCAGCAGGGGGTTGGACTAGATGACCTCCAATGTCCCTTCCAACTTTATTATTGTTGTTGTTGTTGTTGTTGTTGTTGTTGTTGTTATTATTATTATTATTATTATTATTATTATTATTATTATTATTATTATTATTATTACCACGGTTGTTAAGTGAATCTGGCTTCCCCATCGGCTTTGCTTGTCAAAAGGTCGCAAAAGGGATCATGTGACTCCCCAGGATAGTAAAACTGTCATAAA